TTTAGTAAAAATTAAAATTATTTAAACCGTGGCCTGACTGGAGTCAGTCTTGAAAGAATTACAGTGGGAATCGTAACATAAATAGAATTGTATTTTCTTCTTCTTTTTTTTTTTTTGTCCCCTACTTTTTAACAGTAAATCCTGAGCACAGATCTAAGGTCTTTTCCCAAAAACAACAAAACACAAAAATACTCATTCATAGATAGTAGTATTCCAAAGTAATGGTACATGAAAGGTTATAGGAGTTTTGAAGTCTTACAAAGTTAATTATAGGCTTACAGCTCCGGATGACACCCAAGAGAAGTCATTTTCAAACCAAGGCCAGGGTTAGTTTGAAAGTCATATCATACTTCAGCTTGAAGTCAAACAAGGATGCATTAAATAGTGAGGGTCCGGTGAGAATCAAATTTCACACTTGTATCAGATACTTACAGTTCTTTAGAGCCTGTAAAACCATATGACCCTGTAAAATAATATTATCTTTCTGTGTTTTCAATAAGTGAGCCAATTTTCATGAGCAGAAAACTGGATAAAAGATGTAATCACGTTCCTCCCAGGCATCAGAGTGCACTGTAGGGCGTCTTCCCCGAAGTGCAGACCAAGGTCTGAGGAGCTCTGGGCATGTTATTTTGCAAACTCGTATTTGTACTCATGTTTGTACTAGGATGATAAACAGTTCAGTTTCACTGCAGAGAAGCAGGAGATCACTGATTTTAGGAGAGTGTCCGAAAAACTGTGAGGGAGAGTTGCTGAAGACAGTTTCCTGGTCACACAGCTCATGGATGCTTGTGGGATGTAGGATGTCATGCTGCTCCATGCTCAGAGTGTTGTGTGTGATCCTGCACTTTGAGGTGAAGGAGTTGCTAATATATATATATATATATATATTTTATATTTATATTTATTATTATTATTTTTCATCCTTACCGGAGGACATTTTTCCATTTATCTTCAGATAGAGTGTGAGGGAGAGGGGGAGAGAGAGAAACATCAATGTGAGAAAAACACATCGATTGCCTCCCGTATGGCCCCAACCAGGGCTGGGGACCAAACTGCAACTGAGGTACATGCCCCTGACCAGAACTGAACCCAAGACTCTTTGGTCCACGGGCCGACGCTCTAACCTCTGAGCCAAACTCGCCAGGGCTGAGTTGCTAATATTAAAACCTTCCCCACATTTGAAGAACTCTGTCCCTTAACTTATTTTGTTGCTGCCAGCTCCTTTTTCATATTTTTTCCTTAGATAAGAACACCAAGGCAATGTCTTTTCAAGCTTTTTGTCTCAGCAATGGAATGCAAGCGAATTAATATCTAATGGTTTTGTGCAAAGCTCAGTAAACAGATTTTATTTTGCCACTATAAAATTAAAAATCCTTGTGTCATTGGGAAGCTGGAGAGGAAGACTATTAGCAAAATTATTAGCAAATTAAAGTAGAAATGATAATAACACTAGTGGCCCAATAAAAAGTCTGAGAAATCAATTATTGGTAGTAAAGAAAAAGCTGCTGCTCCAGTCGGGTTTAGGGTGGCAGGTACACAAAATGTAATAAACAATATATGCAGTGTATCCCTCTATGATTCTTTACAATTGCCCAGTTCTTGGGCTTTGGGAGAATATATATGTAGATGTGAGTAAACATTAGAAGAAGGATAATCCTCTGGGTCTATGGATCTAAGACACACTTTCATGAACATGTGTGAGTTAGTTAACGTACCTAAGTCAAAGGAAGTTCTTCCATATTTGAACCTTGTAGATGTAACATTTCACTCCTCCTCATTACCTTGTTATTTCATTGAACTACTAATTACTTAGATAATTGTCACAGCAAGACCTAGGGATCAGAGCGTTGGTGTGGCATTGCCACTTCTAAGGCCATCAGAGATAAGTGTACTGAGGATGAACAACATTTTGTACCAAGAATATAATTGCTTAGCTCATTAGATAGGAAAGAGCCTACCTGTGGATATGTAGTTGTGTATATACAGGTCTGTAAATACTTATTTGAAATCTCTCTAAATCACTTTATAATATAATTTTTGAAAAATTTCTGCTTGGGAAGTTTTATAGAATCCATTTGTTTATGCTTTGAGCAAAGTTATATGGTAACAATGCCATAGACTCAATCCAGCAATGCTGTATTTTTGCCAAGAGTTTTTCATCGGAGCGTGTGAAAATTTCTCTCTCTCCTTTTTATTGAATGTATTGGGTAACACCGGTTAACAAAATTATAAAGGTTTCAGGTGCACATCATCCGCGCACTGTACTGTGTGTTCACCACCGCAAGTCAAGTCTCTGTTCATCACCATTTATCTCCCACAGGCTCCTCCACCTTCCCCGCCCTCCGTGCCCTCTGTCATTCACCACCCTGTCTGTATACATGAGTTCTTTTTTCTTTTTTTTAAATTAATTAATTTATTTTTGTTACAGATGTTTCTCCTTTATCCCCCACTGATTCTTTTTTTTTTTTCTCAATCCCTTCACCCCACCTCACCCATTTCCTGGGCACCCCAATAGCTGTGAACCTGCTCTCTCTCTATGACTCTGTCTCTGTTTTGCTTGTTAGTTCATTTTGTGCATTAGATTCCTCATAGGAGTGAGATCATATGGTGTTTTCTTTCTCTGGCTTATTTCACTTAGCATAATCCTCGCCAGGTCCATCCATCCATGCTGTTGCAAAGGGTAAGATTTCCTTCTTTTTTTATGGCCAACTACTATTCAATTGTGAATATACCACAACTTTTTTGTTTTTTTTATATTATTTTGAATCCTCACCCGAGGACATTTTTTCCATATTTTATTCAGATAGAGTAGGAGGGAGAGAGAGAGAGAAACATCGACGTGAAAGAGACACATCGAGCGGTTGCCATCCACACGACCCAACCAGGGCCAGGAACAAACTGCAACTGAGGCACGTGCCCTTAGCAGGAACCGAACCCGGGTCCCTCTGGACTGCAGGCCAACGCTCTAACTGCTGAGCCAAACCGACCAGGGCACCATAGCTTTTTTATCCACTCATCTACTGAGAGAGCTTGGGCTGCTTCCAAGTGTTGGCTGTTGTAACTAATGCTGCAATTGGTATGTGCGAATTTCTGAAGAATTACAAATATATAGTAATTTACCTGCATGCATTATTTTTGATAGATATCTATTTTTAAATGGCAGAAAAGCACAAGCCCTTATCTACATATGAGTGAGGATAATTTGTAAATCTTCAGAAATAGTCTCATTTCAAGAATTTCTCTCTTAAAAAAAGAAGAGAAAAGCTCATGGACATGAACAACAGTGTGGTGAACGCTGGGAGCGGAAGGATGGGGGAGGTGGAGGAGGGTGAGGGGGATACATGGTTATAGACCGAGACTTGACTTGGGGTGGTGAACACACAATACAGTGTACAGATGATGTGTTGTAGCATGGTGCACCTGAAACCTGTACAACTTTGTTAACCATTGTCACCCCAATACATTCAATAAAAATGATATTTCTCTTTAAAAAAGTGTGATTTTCTGTACAAAATAAAACTATGCAGTAGAACTAGATAACTTCCCATTTTCTTTTAAATGGGAATAACAAGAAAGTTATTTGCTAATAACTAAGTTATTATTGGAGGAATCTTCTTTAAAATAAGCTACCAGCACTGATATTATCCATTATTTATTGGCTTGACATATTCATTCTGTAGAAATTGTGTGTGAAAAAGTATCTGCAGGACAGGGGATGTGATGTGTGTGGCAGTGAGAAATGTCTTACCTCTCTTGTGGGCGGGAGCAGCTGATGGTACCACTGCTTTGGAGCACACACCTGTCCCCGTGGAGGGGCTTATTTCTAGGACTGAAAAGCTGATACTGAGGGTTGTACTCTTCTTGGGACTGCTACTTGAAAGCATGTTATCTATAAGTACACCTGAAGTGAAAATTTTTTTTCTTTGAAAATACAATATCACGTCAACAAAAACTTCTGCCTTTTATTGGTCTCCATGCCAACATAAAACACGTCTTAAACAAAATATTTTTGTTGGCTTTCCTTCTGTGATTTATGTGTTCTTTTTTCCTTTTTCTATGTCAAAATAGACATTTTTAATAATTTTTAATAAAACATTCTCAGGGGCACTATTTTAAAGAAATCTTCACACAAACTAAAATTTTTCTACAATAATTATATATTATTTTCTATTTTTATATTGACTTGAATGACTAATAGCCTACCAAGGTTATGGTGCAGATATGACATATATTTTTTAGTTAAGTAACCTGTAAACAATATAGTAATTCGCTTTCCAAGATGTTAAATGAGTTGTCCTATATAAAACATTTTGAGATAATTAGAACTTCTATGACATACACCTATATTACATATAAAATGTGTTCTGGTCACTACTCGCCAGATATTTAAAAAACATGAAACTTCTCATTTCAAAATATGCATGTAGTGATTTCCTCCACTAAATATAAAAATACCAGCTAGACAGCAGTTATTCTGCCAGTGAAGGGACTCATGGCTTGTCTTCTTAAGAACTCCACAGAGTTCACTAGTTTGTAATAATACTTGCTTATCTCTTTGAGTGGCTTTTCGATCCAGGACCTGTATTTGGAGGAGTGCTGTGTAATCTGGAAAGCGTCTATGAAGGCAGGTGATATTCTGAGGGGTAAACCCATGCACTGAGCATAAATTATCTCTCAGTTGGCATTGATTCTACCTCCATAAGCACTAAACATCCTCTTTCAGGGTTCAGAGGTCGTGCTCTCCTCGTGCATTGCAGTGAAGTGTGTTTCCTCAGGACTTGGGTGGTTTTTTAGAGAGTAGGAACTTCTGAGCCCACTGATACGGAAAACAATCTATATAGATGACTAAACACGATGTAATTCCAGAGGAGATCAGACACACAGAATCACTAAAAGCCTTCTTGCCACCAAATTAGATCTAATCAACCAAAGAAGTGTGAATAAATAAATAAAAGCTAATGTCGAACTTTTGCTTACAGATAAAATGTTATGTTTTTCAGAACGCTGCAAATGTAAGCCTATTAGAGCGACTCAGAAGACCTATTTCCGAAACAATTACAACTATGGTAAGGATAACTTCATGGTTGACCTATAACTGCTGTGTTAAGAAAGGTGTGTGTGTGTGTGTGTGTGTGTGTGTAAATTAGTAGAGCACTTCAAGAATAAGGCTTAAAAATAAATTAAGACAACTTTCAAGAGCATACCTCTCCCACATAATTAAAATGTCTGATGTGGGCAAAGTTCTTGACAAATTATTGATTTTGAAGCAGATCAGGAAACGATGCCGGCATGGTAGAACCATGTCAGCCCAGAGACACATTTCAAACTGGATGGGAGGGACTGTTCCCCTGGAGCCGGAGGGGGTTGAGCTTGAGAGGTGCTGCGCGTCCCGTTCCCTGTGGTAAACAGGAGCCCGTGGTGCATGCAGGACGGGGAACAGAGTTCAGGCCGTTTCTTCAGGCATTCCATCCCATGGAAAACACTCACAGAGTTGGAAAGCAGCACTTACAAAGGTTGTTAGTATTCAATTAAGGAAATGTTTTGTTATCTAGCTTGACCTAGAAATGGGACATTCTGATAAAATATTAATTATAGAGCTATCAATGCAAATGTAACTGACAAACCTAACTGACAGGAGAAGCCAGCTGTCTGAGCCAGGTCCCGGGAAGGAGATTTCCATACGTAATGTAATTTTCTCAACTGCCCCATGAGACCAATTATTATTTTTATTTTATTAGTGATTATTTATCCTTCCTTTGATTATTCAGAATGTACTTTTGGGTACTTACATGCTTCAGAGTTGCATATTTCAATGATCAGTTATTTAGAAGAGTCAGTTAATAGAGTTTTCCTGTTGATAAAATAAGGGGCAAATCAATATTTGCTGTACTTCGTCAACATTTTATGATCACCTTTTTCTAGCATGTATGAGATTAATAAAGGTTATATTACTATCTTTAGAATATTCTTGATGCTGAGTCAATGAGTAAACATGGCAATGAAACAAATTTTTGGAGGGAACTTTATTATTAAAATGAGAATTTTATTATTGAATTTCCATGCCCTATTTTAGAGGCTATTGGACATACACAGCAGATCTATTCCTACTTTTATACTTTTGGGAATCGGAGGAGATAAATGTTTAATACTCTGTAAGAGTAATGGTTTATATTTAAAAACTGTGTATTAAAAGGTATAAAGTACAAAACTCTCAATGTAGGTAAATATCTTTAAAATAAATTACACATAGTTTTGCAAGTGTTACTTCAATGAATTCAATTTTTATTTTTTGCTTACTACTCACCTTAAGAGGGATCTACTTTCTCTTAGCCAATGGTGGGCACACTTTCCAAGGCTGAAAGATCAAATGTGAAAAATCACAGGGAAAGGGAGGCCTTCATTTTTAGGAGATTAAAAAATGATATATAACCTTTTAAGTACAATTATACTAAAAATAAAAGCATAATAAAAATTTTGTATCAGAGAAATTTAGTTTGTATTTATTTTGCTTAATTAGTCAATTTTTACTTTACCCAACTTTCTTAGTGCTGCAGTGGTTGGTGCTGGGATTTTTGCTAAAAGTCAAAATACTAGGGGTTACATAGAAAGAGAATATCTTCAACAAGGTAGCAGAGTGAATGTTATAACATAAAATGGGATAGAGATAAAAATTAATGGCAAGAAGTTAATTTCTTTCTTCTAGCCAAACAATAATAACCAGGTTGCCTACAGTTTAAGGATTTCACTTGTCTGGGGTTTACTTAGAACTTCATTGGGGAAGGCAGTCAGTCTAATGATTAAATAGAAGAGAAAAAAACCTCTGAAATAAAAAAACATTTTAAATTTCAAAATATGTTGATTTTTATCTTTTCTTAAATATCTACATGTCTACTGAGAAAACGAAGTGGGGTTGGGAGCAATTGATAACTCAGACAAAACCCCTGCTTCATTCAGAATTAATTCAGGTAAAGTCTCTTGAGCTTTAACAAAATTACTTGAATAATAAAGTAAGTCTTGTAGAGAGATATTTATTTTGGAGGCAGTATGTGTGCTAAAAATTTCTAATGAAAATAGTAGCCATACTGGGTAAATAAATCATTAGTTTGAGAACATTTGCACAGTTCACTAATCTCTAAGAGTTGATGGATGCTATGAAACACATTCACATAAACCAGGACCCCCAAAAATGTCTGCTAGCTGGGTTGTGAATTTATCATCTGATTCTCAAATGACATTTCCAAAAGGGAAATCTTATCTTTTGTTAAAATACAGAATAGAGAGAACACTCACAGAAAGGGATTCTTTGGCTCACAAGTCACACCAAGCAGGGACAGCTGGGCAGTTATATTTTGTTTGCTGTAAGTTCTCATGTTTGAGACACCTAATTTTCTGAAAATTAAAATACCTGTAAAGCAAAAATGAGGTTTTTGTCTTAAAGTTTTCAGCATTAGTAACTTAATTTCTATCATATGTATGTTGTACTGGTGGAATTAGGTAAGTTTCTGCATGGCATTGGGGCATGGATGGGGCTTATTAATTGGCTTTGTATTTTCATGGATCACTTTTTTCCATTCTTTCAGAGTCCAGAGCACCTAAAATATGTGGGAAGGAACTCAGATGAAAGTGGTTTGCTGATATGTGCCCAAGAGGCTTTTAAAAAGTGGATTCATTTGGTTGAGTTGTGTTTTCCTCTGTGTACCATCCATGAACACTGAACTAGAGCAATGAGGTGCCCAGGAGAAAGCCACTGGCTTCTTACACATTAACTTACTTCTAGGCCTTTTCAAACTTCCCCTTTAGAAAACAAACAACAAACAAACAAAAGTTCATTTGCCAGAAGTAGGAATCTAAAGAATTTGGCCCCTCCAAAGAAGAGAAATACAGAGGAACTGTATTTGATAGATTATGAGTCCAAAACTTCAACTTTGCAACTGAACTGATTATTTTGTTTGTCTTTACATTGAGAACACACGTGTGAGACAAACTGGGTGTCAGCACATCCACTGAGAGAGGTGGGTTAATGCAACTGGCATGTTGGACTGCGCAGGGCACGTGAAGGGGAGGGATGTCGGAGTATCTGACTTCAAAGCAGATGGGGGAACAAGGTCTGGTGGTGACCGTTTTTACTAAAAAAAAAGGTAAAATTCTTGCCCTGGCCGGTTTGGCTCAGCGGTTAGAGCGTCCACCTGCGGTCCGGAGAGACCCGGGTTCGGTTCCCGCTAAGGGCATGTACCTCGGTTGCGGTTTGTCCCCGGCCCTGGTTGGTCGTGCGGGTGGCAGCCACTCGATGTGTCCCTTTCACATCGATGTTTCCCTCTCTCTCTCTTCCTCTCTCTCCCTCCCACACTGTCTGTACAAAAAAAATGGAAAAATGTCCTCGGATGAGGATTAAAAAAAGAAAAAAAAAAAAAAAAAGAAAAAAAAAAAAAAAAAGGTAAAATTCTTACAGGAGTGTATAAAATAAAATCTGTACTGAAACAAAGGGAAAAGGAGCTGACGTCTCAACAGTGAGCTAATTGAGGAAGGTGGAAAGAGCACAGAACCAGTTTGGAAACAGTAGGAAGGACAATTTTATAACACTTATGAGACCCCCAGCTCTTCAGAGAATCCATGAATAGACCTGATAAAAGAATACTGACAAGAAAACAAAGCATATTTAAGTACCCGGTCTTTACATATAGTGAAATTAATAAAGTTTAAATTCCTGTTGGCAGCCATGGAAACTGCAGAGATGCATACACACATCCAAAATGAAATTCTGGAGGAAAATTACATCAGATTCACACAACCTTTGATTATCTAAATGAACTTGTTTGAATAGAATACATACACATGTGCATATATGCACACAAATATATATGTACACAAATTGGAAGGGGATCAGGGCTGAACATCAAGGGGACAGGTGTGTTGTGCAGTGTGTCACTCACTACTGTCTAGGACGAAAATGTCTGGCTGACTTTTCCTCTCCATTCCCTGAGCATCAAGTCGAGAAAAATGACTGTAAAGAAGCCAACTTATCTTTTTTGAATGTGGCACCTATTGTGTATCACATGACCATCTCAGTTTTATTATTTTTTGTTCAGTCATTCGGGCTAAAGTTAAAGAGGTGAAAACCAAGTGCCATGACGTGACTGCAGTAGTCGAGGTGAAGGAGATTCTGAAGTCTTCTCTGGTCAACATTCCAAGGGACACCGTTAACCTGTATACCAGCTCTGGCTGCCTGTGCCCTCCACTCAGCGTTAATGAGGAGTACATCATCATGGGCTACGAAGACGAGGAACGCTCCAGGTAATTCACTCCCTAAGGATTCAGGATGATTTCTATGCCTGTGCTATCCTGTTTGCACTTCTCCAGAGATTTTACTCTGGGGTTGGGGATTACAGGTAGGTTTTAGTTGGGTCTCTCAACTGCATGTATTGAACAGAAAGTGTATGTGTACAACTTGTGGATGTGCATTTTTCTGGGGAGAGGGTTCATAACTTCATTTGTTCTTGAAAGGTCCATGATTTCCAACAGTTAATAATTACTGCTCTAAAAAAATATTACTGTTCTGAAATTTGGTCATTCTGGTCTAGAATAAGCAGGTAATTTTTTTTGCAATTGTTCCTGTATTTTTCAGTAATATGTTTCAATTTTTCAAAAATGTTTTCTTCTTTAAAAAATGCAGATTACTGTTGGTGGAGGGTTCTATTGCTGAAAAATGGAAGGATCGACTGGGTAAAAAAGTTAAGGTAAGCCTGTATTTTATGTATAGAGTGATACATAGAATATAAAAGTAGACAACCAGCCCTTTGTCATTTAAACAAAATAGCTGCCCTCAACTACATGAGAAATATTAAAACCTGATATATATGTATAGGTGTATAGATATGTTATATCCATCCATCTATCTATCTATCTGATTCCAAAGACTAAGTTTGTCTTTAACATAAATTTCATTTAGGAAGTTCTCTGTATGTGTATCAGAAATCTAACTATGGCTGCCCAACTTCCCACAATGAGAACTCCAGCTGTAGTTAGCCCAGTCCTGGTAGGGTGACTCCGTTGTCCTTAGAGCACCATTTTCATGGTCACCTGCAGGTCACAAACAGCTGCCCCACGTCCAGCATCACACCTACATTTTAGGGAGAAAGAAAAGAGAGGTTAAAAGGTGTTTTCAAATGCCCCATCTAGCAACTTTTACAAAGGACTGGGTCTCCTGTTAATCTCTAACTGCAAGAAAAGCAGGGCAATGTGATTTTTTTTTTTTAGCTGAGCTTGTTGCTTCCTTGAACAAATTGCAGTGGTATGTGTCACAGAAAAGAAGAAAGAATGAGTAGGAAACTACCAATATTGTCCCAGTGCATAGACATCATTTTCTAGGTATAAGGTACAGCCACGCTCATCTGTATATAAGCTCCTTAGAGCAGTAATGTAGCTTTATTTTTAAGCCAGTGACTCTGAGATTCTGAAAGTGATGCATTTTTTAAAAATCACTGTAAATTACCTTTTTAATAGAAGGTTCCATTCCTTCTTGCTATACTAAGCAAATCTGTTTCAAAGAAAGGAATATGGGAGTGTATGTATAGAAGGGCAAAGAATCGAAAAGTGTGTGTGTGTAGTGGGCAGGGAGGGGGAGGGGAAAGTAGAAATTGTACCAACATAATAACATAATACATCCTCTTCCTTCTGTGTGTTTGAAGGGTTGGGAAACATTTACAGGGTAAGCTAAACACCCGTGGGCAGTTTATTGTAAACATCTGGCACTCGACACAGCAGAAACATTTGAGTTCAAGTGACCTCCAGAAATGTAGAGGGCATTATTTTTCAGGGAGAAACTGCTCTCCAGTAACCCTCCCACCCCAGGATATTTGTCAAAAGTGGGATGCATTTCAAGTTTAGACTTGTGAGAATTCTCTATTTGTATCTCTTTTCAATTAGGTTGGTGTTTATTAAAAAGTGGTTTTCCTTCAGTATTTGGAATCTCTTACTGTCCTTTTCATTTGGGTTTCTGCTTGCTAATGCAGAACAGGAATGTGTCCTAAATTCCTTCACCAGATGGGAGAGCTTTTAACATCCCCGCTGCAAAGCATGTAACAAGGCTGCTCTTTTGGTACCAAAACAGTTATCATCATGTAATGACCTAGGACGCATGACTTGTTAGTCCTGTCTCTTAGTAAGGCAAACATATTTTCTACTGCTTTCTTTCTTTTTTTTATCCTCACCCGAGGACATTTTTCCATTTTTTGTACAGATAGAGTGGGAGGGAGAGAGAGGAAGAGACAGAGAGAGAGAAACATCGATGTGAAAGGGACACATCGAGTGGCTGCCACCGCACGACCAACCAGGGCCGGGGACAAACTGCAACCGAAGTACGTGCCCTTAGCAGGAACCGAACCCAGGTCTCTCCGGACCGCAGGCCGATGCTCTAACCGCTGAGCCAAACCGACCAGGGCTATTTTCTACTGCTTTCTATAGGGAACTCACACAGAGTCATTATGTGAATTTATTTGTATTCTTAGTCTAGATTTAAACATGCTCAACAATTCAAATTTATATGGAGATGCTTCAGACTAAAGACTTCCATTGGAAAATCTCTTTGATGAGAATTATTGAGATCTTTAGTTTTCCAGTTAATTTGAGGATGGAAAAAATAGTTTTGTGGAGGGCACTTAAAAAAAAAAAATAGAGTTGCCCTTCCAGCTGATTTTTTTTGCTCTCAGTGGATAGATCAAGAATTAAATAAAGACCCCTTTATGGTTTTCCATGCAAATGGTTGTTTATTTAAGTCTCTGTTATAGTAGGTTGTTCAGGTTGAGATATTTGGCCTGCCTTGGGGAGCTGAGAAGGAGACTGTTTTTTAAATATGAAAAGCAATAAGACTGTGGACTAAAGCATCTAAAATAAAGAATTACTTTCAGTAATTGAAAAATGGTAATTTAATATGAACTAAGCACGTTGTACATTTTTCACCTGTTAATCTTCAGAATTCTCAATGTACATCTTCCATTTGTTGACCACTTGTGAAGGGCCAGACTTGTGTTTGTCGTCTCAGGAGAGCTCACAGATTGTGATAGGTATTTGTGTCACCATTTACTGACACAGACATTTGAAGCTTCAGGTTTGATGTGAAAGCAATTTTAATGTAGGCAGACAATTTCATGCTTTTTAAAATCTGAGAATTGTGTTTACATAGCATCAATTTCATTGTTGCCCTGGGATACAGAGCTGATACTTTTTGAAAGTAGTAAAATGCTTTTGAGATCTGACTTTGCTGTCTCCATTGTCGGAATAATAGAAATGATGACCCTGGTGATTTGCGCATGTGACCATTTCTGTTCTACGTTTCACAGCGCTGGGATATGAAACTCCGTCATCTTGGACTGAATAAAAGTGATTCTAGCCATAGTGATTCCACGCAGAGTCAGAAGTCTGGCAGGAACTCGAACCCCCGGCAAGCACGCCATTAAATCCTGACATGTGGAAAGAACAGCCGTGGACTTCCTATTAAGACTTGCATTGCTGGACTAACTAGCCAAGGAAAATTGCACTATTGCACGTCATATTCTATTTTTTACCACAAAACTCATGTGGTAAATGATATTACTTCTATTTTCTCTTTTGTTTCCTGCTTTTCTCTTCCCTCTTCCCACCCCCTTCTTTGTGGTCTGAGTGCAGATCCTAAAATATATTATATGTATTCTATTTCACTAATCATGGGAAAACTGTACTTTGCAATAATAATAAATTAAACATGTTGATCCCAGGGCCTTTTTGCTGGAGTAAATGTTAATTTACTGCTCTGCGCCCAGACTGGGAATGCAGTATTGGATACAAAGAGAGAAAGCTAAATAAGCTGTACAATATACTCGGCTGATCTAATTACAGCCTCATTTTTGCACGCCTTTGGGCATTCTCCTCATGCTTAGAAAGTCCTACATGTTTATAAAGGTAAAATAGCAGTTTGAAATCAAATGCCATATAGGCAAAGCAATCAAGCACCAGGAAGCATTTATGAGCAAAAGACATACAAGACGAATTATTTGAAAGACAGGCAGGAAGCAAAATAAATAGTGTTAGGAGTTGGGGAAAGAACATTTTGCCTGACTGAGAAGCACAACTGAAACCAGTAGCTGCTGGGATGTTATCAGTAGCATTTATCTTTTGGCAATACATTTGACTTGTTTATGAATACATATATTCATCAGCACGAGGGATGTGAATTATAACTAGACATCTGCTGTTATCAGCATAGCTCCATTTAATTTTAAACAAACCCATTGGTGTGAGTCTATTTTTTCTTCTTCTTTTAAAAATGACTTGCTTCATTGACCAGGAAAAGAAATTATATATGTATGTGCGCCAGGGTGTTGTTTTTAAAAGCTGTGTAGCTCTATAACATGCTGTAGTTTGCAGGATGGTAAAATGTACAAGGGGTGGGTGTGTGTGTATTTGTGTATGTGTGTTCACACTCACCTGGACTGAATTACAGGCCTGTGCACTGGCCTGTACTTAATCATTTGGGTTTGTGCTATTTAATGCTCAGTAAAAGACGTCTAATAAAAGGAATTATGGTTTTCAGGAGGGAGGCTACTCTGACTTTTGAACCAAATGCACCTTCTCATTACCCAAGCTGCAGTGTGATCTCCAAGGACCGTGGGGAACAAATTATGCTTTTACTTTCTTCAGTGGGATTCTTTAGAGCCTGTGCCAATCATTGGAAAGTCTCATTCCTTTCCATTTTTATGTTTGATATTAGTAGAACCAAATTTCTAAGCTCTGATATGCTGAAAATAAAACATGTATGAAGCAAATGGTGCTGTGTTTCCTTCTACAAGGACAATCATGCAAGAATGAAAGTTATTTCTGAACACGTTTCCTGAAATCATAAATAATAATCCATCCAAATTCTATTTTGGAAGTAAGAGAACATACTTACCTTGCCTTTTGACATACCCCAACCCCCAACAATGTCTTCCATCTTAGAAGAAAGTTCCCACCTTCATCTGCATGAGGGACTCTAGCTCTTTGTGCTGCCCTGTGGCTGCTTTCAGACAGTTTAGCCTCTGCCCTGTGGGCTTTATTCTAATGGCTCAGGCAGGGGATCTCTTTCTAGAAGCTGCTGTTGTTGTAGCCTTGAAAGGTGAGCGTGGGTGTCACAGGGTAGTAGTGAGGTGCCACATGGAAGAACCAACTGCATCTCAGGATCTCTCATCTGGATATTTATGCCTCAAGTTGAACTGCACAGACGAGGACTGGAAAGCGGTCCTTCCACATCACCCTGTTTTACCCATGCCTTTTCATTGTAACTGTGGAAAGAAGGGCAAAATTGAGTACAGGAGACTGAAAGGAATTGGTTTCTCAAATCCACATAATGTCATCAACTCTTCCAAAGCATAGTATGGTGAATTTATGTGATTAAATATTCTGATGTATGATGCAAGGCACAGATGTTTCCAGCCCCTGTGGCTGGGGGAGGGGAGGAGGATAATATTTGCATAGAGATTTGAAACAATTTATGATCAATACATATACAATGGCAATATTTATAAGCAAAAGACGACCAGATTCCTAGATTCAGCAGTGGGTTTTGTTCTTTGCCATTTTCCATTTAAATGCTCTATACAGCCGGTGTGGCTCAGTGGTTGAGGGCCAACCCATGCACCAAGAGGTCCGCGCTCTATACCGGCAATGCTTGATTTTGCTCATGTATGTAGGGCTCTGTCAGTTATTTTAAAGCCCATAAGGCCCATGAATAAAGTACGTTTGATTTTACAGTTTGATAGTTGTAATATTTTAATAAATTATGTGTAGGCCTCTTTTGGGACGACATGATTTTTATCATGACGGTCACCTTTCTAATCAGACTGCAAAACCATTTCTACCCTGCAATTGCCCGAATGGAAATATCTCTCATTAGTGCCTCTCTATAGGCTTTCCTGTCAGGGACCAACTTTCAAAGCCACTGAAATTTGAATACATAGGCATCCTTGTCAGTAACCTTGAGATCTAAGAAATTAATTTAAAATTTCTTGGGAAATTGATGTTCATTCTTAGGATTTTACTCTTCCTGGATGCATGATGAATAAATAAGTAAAAATGAAAATAATAGCAAATTTGGATTCTCTTCATGGACATGTAAGTTTTCACCATGTCACATGTAGAGTGTAATATGATTCGATGCCATATGTTACACGGAGCCCTTGAGGTTGGGGTGGGACAAACCATGCCTTTCCACATCTGTTACATATTAAGAAGGCAAATACAAAAATTACAATCACTATGAGTAAATAGTACTACTTATTGCCTTCTGCAAGAAATTATTTGCTATTATTTTTTGACAAGGAAAATGACTGAAAAAATAAGTATTTCAAGACTGGTGTTTATTTAGACTGTGAATTTTAATATTTAAATAATACCGGCACTCAAGAGCATGGCCGAAATGAGGGAAAGCAGATACTCCTGATACTAGTCCTGACATCCAACAGATAGAAGTTTAAAATATTGTTCCCAGCTGAATTAATATGAACAAAAAATAGGATCGTTATACCTTTGGTAATTATATTTTTGGGGGTAGTAGTGTCTGACAGTGTCTAGAACTCTAAAGAAAACACTCACATGTGTATTACCTCATGTAAGCCTTGAAAGTGTAAAGTAGGTATTGTTATTTTTGTTTTATAGGTGACAAAATAAAGGATTTAGAACTTCAGAGTTATGTTAAGCAGCAGACCCCCTTATTCTTATTTCCAAAGTTATATTTCCCATCATTACAATTGCTGATAAAAAGTTAAACACATCCTGACATTGTAAAAAAGCCTAGTGCCAAGCATGTAGAGGCTACTAATATTTTTTTCTTAAATTGAGGTTTACCACCTGTGTCAGCAAGCCTCGGTCCCACTGTGACCCCAAGTGGTGTCTATTCTTCAGTTGTCCTTGCCTATGAATTCAAAATTTCAATGGCATCTCATACAGGATGAGGTGAATGGACAATCAAAGTGATGCTTCTGGCATGAATAGTTTAAAGATATGTGATTCTCTGCAGAAAACAAAAAATGGTATTTCCCCCTCTAAGTTTCTGTTTTTTCTTGCATTTGGAGAAAAGCATGGAGTTAATAGTATTCAACAAAGCCAGAATTAAAAGTTGATTGTTACCTCATTTTATGTTATCTCATGTCTCAGAGGTTTCCTTATCCCTCCCTCCACCAGAGTCCTCCAGAGGCTGGAAAGAAAACTGTCTGTATGACCTAATACCCCCTGCTTTTCTTTCATTAAATATTTTCATTATGTCAGAGATCTGACATGTTGAAAGACAACTCAAGCTGTTTTTTTGTGGGTAAAATGCAGACAGCGTGCATTGTTTCTACTGGGAATGGTGGGCGTCAAGGCGCCATGAAGAAGGAAAGGATGTGCTCAGGGAAGCTTGCTCGGTACAAAAGGAAAGGGTCTGTGGACTGGTGAGGAGACTGACTCAGAAATGAAAGGAGATGCCGAAGAGAGCTCCCCACTAACCACAAGGATGTGGAGGGGTTGACATCACTTATTATATAGTAGGGCTGGGGCCGCCCTTCCAAACAGCCACCACCCTGTGCACACACGCTTAACATCATGAAACAGGACTGAGGTTATGATTGTAGGGTTGGGTCTTAGGAAACTCTGGGGTATCAGCAAGGGTGGGTCAGCATGATGTCTGACACTTAGGATAGCTCTGAGACAGTAAATAGTTCATGAAAGGGGACGAAGTATTGCTTATTTATACTGGATGATAAATAAAGCCAACAAATAAAACTGATCAGGTTCACTTGAATGCCTTTAGTTCTACATTGTTTTGGTGACTGGGGGAAGCAGGGCTTCCGAGAGATGGGATCCCTGTACCAGCACTGAAGGACAGAATTTAAAGTAAAAGCTATGATATGATTGGGCAAAAAAATAGATGAATCTGAACAAAATCCCTACTGAAAGATTCTTTCCCTATGACATACAACTCAAGTGATATAGCAAAGCTTTAAAAAGAACCATGAAGCTCCAAAAAATCATACCTACAGAGACTTCACTGTCCTCTCTGCACATTCTTCTCTCCCTCTTGGCCATTCTTACCTGTTCTGCTTCTCATATTGCTTGGCTAATTAAATCACACACAAGCCTGAAGTAAGTATAGTTTTCAGAATTGCTAGAAAATTAAGTAGCAAGTAAACAGAAGGAATTGTTTGATATTCTTTAGATCCACTGATCAATACCCAGGAAGCACAATGGGATTCCCTTCAGATCACTAGTCCAGGCAATCTTGTTCTGAGCTTCTGCATACACAACAGCATCCGCCTGGAACCATGGCTCCCTGTCCCTTAGAGAGCCAGTCAGTCACTCAAAACAGCCCTCACCACACCTTGAAATGAGCTTTGAAGTTAGGCACCTGAACAGTTCTCACTGGGCAACCTATTGGCTGTTTAGCTTACTCTCTCGGTTCTAAGATCAGGTGAATTGAGCTAGGCAGAGCCTGTTGATCAGTGTCTGGAGTATGGTAGGCACGTAATAAGTACAGATTTACTTGTACTCTGAGTACTCTCTGTGAGGACCACAGTTCTCAACCAGGGCTCTGGAGGGTGCTTTTCCACCCAAAAGGAAACAATGGCTTCCAAGAGATCCTACTGTCTGAACCGCTCTTTCTCCTCAATCTTTAAGATGCCATACTCAAAAAATTCCCTCAAATCATCCTCAAGTTGCAATTAAAACTTTTTTCTGCTCTTCCTCTAGTAAGGCAGATGAGCTTAGAAAGAAGCATGATCAGGAGACTCAATGAATACTCATTTGATTTTTCAAAAGGTAAGATTCTGGAAAAACTACATAGTGCTCAATTCTACAAAATGTACATATCACTGATACAAGTCTATTTGTTTTATTCCACGTATTATGATTTATTTGGGAAATCAAAAACCACCACGTATTATGATTTATTTGGGAAATCAAAAACCAAAATATTTCTCCAACCACTTTTAAGTATGAAAGATGGTAAACCTATAGAAAGCTTAATGTCGTAATGCTGGTTATTCCTATGGAGATGTCAATCTCCAGATTAATTCACTTAATAACCTTTGACCTTTTCAGTGGAATTGGGTTTTTATATACTACTATTAGCCATTCGTAAGCAATAGGTTATTTCACACAAAGGAGAAAAGCAAGTAAAGCAATTTTCTCTTAATGTTATTGATAAAGTTTGGCCTCTTGAAAGGAGAGACCACATGCAAAGCTATGTGTTCTCATTAGGAGCTAAATTTTGTCAGAGGAGCTTCTTGGTGTT